CCACACCCACACACACACACGCGCACACACACACACACACACACACACACACACACACACACACACACACACACACACACACACACCCCTAATAAAAATATAAATTAAAACTACATTTTGAAAAGTGCTGCAATGGCTCCCTCTCCCTCTCCTACACGTCTGGAGTGTGACACCCACGCTGAGGACACAGTCCTGTTTAGTCAACATTGAATCACCTGTTAGTGAAGTCACAGCTGGAACAGGACAGACACTGATGACTGAAATAGACTGTCCTGAAATGAAAATAGCAAAACAGTATAAAATTAAAAACACAGAAAGATGTCATTTTATGGACCTACTGTGCAAGGTGAAACACAACCCCATTCCAGGAAGTATGTGCTCCTCTTTGCACTTGAGCCTTGAGTTGGTTTTTAATTGCTGCTGAACAAGACAAACTCCAGTCAGTCACTTGAATGCTAATTGTAACAGATTACGAATTTCTGAATATCCGGAAAGTTCCTGTAGCCAGTGACGTCCCCGTCCTCATCTTCTCTCCCATTTCAGCCCCCCATGGATCTCTCCTTTCTAAGAAGAAAGAGAAGCCTTAGAGTCTAGGGGAGTAGAAACAGGAGAAAAACAGGACTGGGAAAAAACAGGATTGATGTGAGCCAACATACGATAAAGCTTAAGGGGGACCATGGCTGTCTGAGCTGCCACAGGCTCCTGTCTATACAACTCCAAGGGTCTTGGGTCTGAGGCTGTCCTGCCCTTGTCAAACTTACAGCCAGATGGAACTTTCCATCCTTTTCCACCTGTGAGAGAAAACTTCTTGAAAGAGGGTAGGGAGGAGGCAGAGCCATGAGGGCCAAAAGGACCTAAAAAGCTTGGAACCAGGGAAGTTTCCAGAACTCTGAAACAAAATAGGACATCTATTCTTGGTTGTCAACTTGAGCACATGTGAAAGTAACTAACACTAATAAATGGAGGACACAACTGTGAGGGATGTTTGCTTAATTTGAAGTCAGAAGGTCAATTTCTGATCTTAGATGCACAGATGGATACATAGATGCACAGATGGATACATAGATGCACTGGTGGATACATATATGCACAGAGTGGATTCCCTCAGACCCAAAGCACAGGGAAGCCTGGCCCAGCAGATGGAAAAGGTGGGCAGGGAGCTCATTTCACGGTGAGAACTTGATAAAGACCATGCCACAGAGAAACCTGTGTTCTACGGTGAGCCAGGTGCAGAGAGAAAAACAGCTCTGCTACTCATGACAGCCTAAGACTTGAGAATGAGGCTCGTGACCATGAGGGTCATCAGCTGTGCTCTGCATTTGCTCTCATTAGCATATTGTGCAGAGTAGCGTCATGTGACCTTGTCACCTATGCATATAATGTGCTCAGTCATGTTTCTCCTCATTCCTCTGTTCCTTTCCACACAC